GAGGCCGGGCGCGGCGAAGGAGGGGGCCCGCCTCGCTGGAAGCGCCTGCCCTGCCGAGTCGGCGCCGTCTCCTCCGCGCTTGGAAGTAAGTTTCTGTCTGGGGAAGCATGCGCTGCTCTCCGTTTTCCTTTTCTTTCCTGAAAAGGGCAGCCTGTGGCATGTTGTCCTTTTCAAACCCCGACCGGCACAGAAGCCCTTCTGGGTTTCGCCGCGAGGGAGCTTGCTCCGGGAGTGCGGTCCTGCGAGCGGAACTGCCCAGAGCGGGGCTGCGTGGACCGGCGGGGGGGGGGGGCTGCCCCTGCTTGCGCATCAAGCGCACTAGCAGCATTGGGTGGTCCTGAGATGCCAGGAATGCGGCGGGCCCGCAGATGGAGTGAGCAGTGCTCAGCACGCATGCGGCAGAGCAGGGGGGTGGGCACCCCGGAGGGTCTGGGAACCCCCCTTTTCCCCACAGCTCCTCCCCACGACAGAGGCCTCCGTGCCTCCCTCGGGGGGCCCAGGAGCCCGGCTCGTTTGCGCAGAGCGCTTTGGCACGTGGGGCTCAGGCCCGGGGAAACTGAGGCGAGGGGGCGCCTTGGGATGGGATCGGGCTCGCGGAGCTGCGGTATGCGCAACTGGGGCAGAGGTGGGGAGGCGGGGGGAGCGTGTGCTCCTGGGGGGGCAGGAGGGTGCTGATGCCGGGCGGGGTGGGGGGAGCCAAGCTGGGGTGTGGCGGCCGGCACAGATTTCTGTGGCACGCGCAGCTACCCCCAGCCTGTACTACAATCCCCATCAACCCCAGCCAGTGTGGGGCTTGTAGTCCCACGATTCTGGAAGGCACCTGATTGGGCGAGGAGGCACAACCCTTGGCTTGCCCTCCAATCCTGCCCCTTGTGAAATTCCAGGCAGTGGTTAATATTCGTATTAGTTAATATTCGTCACTGAAGGATCCTCTCGTTCCCCTGCCTGGCAATCGTCTTACTGCATCGGGAGGAATATCCGAGTAACCTAAATGCTCTTTCGCCCTTTTCTGCTCATGGGGCAAACACTTGGAGCGATTTCCAGAAGCTGAAAAACCGGTATCCCGGCCTCAAGGGGAGCGAGCGCCCCCCCCCCCCGCACTGGGGGCTTCCGGTGCGGCTCTGCAGGCTCGGTGGGGAAGGCGCTTTGTGGTTGGCATCGTTGGGCGAATGAATTAGGGCAAAGGGTCCAAAGTGGACTTTCTGAAAACAAAGCGTATGAGCAGAGGGGTCCATGGGGGGGGCCGCTCCCCGCACCGGTGGAACGCGGCCCGTAGTTCGCCCTTGGCCCACAGGCCGGGGCAAACGCTTGCAAGTCTGAGTGGAAAATGCAAAGGGGTGGGACTTGAACCCAGGGACCCGAATGTCGTTTCCTGTGTGCATATGGGCGGCACCAACGCCCCCCCCCCATGTCTTGGGAGAGCTGTTGAGAGCGTCCACTTATGCAGCATAGCAGGAATTCGCTCGCTCATTTTATTGCATTCCTCGGGGTTTGAACAGGGATTACGGGTGGCTGGCGCTGCGGTAAGTTGCCTTGATCTCTGCTGTCGCGCTCGGCTTGAGCTTAGATGAGGAGCCCGCCTTGCGTTCGGCCCGAGGGCCGGGCTCAGCCCCGTGGTCTCTCAGTCTGGTCCGCCGGGGTCCGCTCTGGGCGCTCGGCAGAGGCAGCGGCTTGTGGGTCCCCTTCAAAACGTCCTTGTGACGTTTTTCCTTCACGGAAATGATCCCTGTGTTGCAAGCACGGCTGCCTCGCTTTCGCAAGGGCCCCGTATTTAACCCCGGGGGCTCGGTGCAGGGCTGATTCTGGCCGGTGAGCTGGGGCCCACGGCACTTCGCTTGCTCTCGCGGGACCAGCCGTGTGCTCTCGTGGAGACAGAAACACAGGGGCCTCCCGGGCCATCTAGTCTGACCCCCAGTGCCACAAGATGCGGCCTCACTCTGCTCACGAGCACGTGGCTAGGCTGAGCGCCTGGCCTCGTGGGGAAATGACGGCGGGTTCTCAGACTGGGAGGCCCTGATGCACTTGGGTCCAGTTCGTAAATCGTCTCCGATCTCTGAGGTTTGCAATTTCCAGGGTCCAGATTCCAGGGCTCGCTTCCCACATGCCCAGAGGCTGCCTGGTCTGGATTTAGGTGTAAACTGGGCTCGCTTGGATTTGGCAACCTGGCTTCCCACCACTCCGCATTTAGGCTGGGCGCCTCGCAAGCTTGCTGTGGGCACGTGCAGCCTGCTGCGGCATATTCCGTAGCCCATGTGGCTGGGCTCAGGGTGTTATCCTGCGCCTGTTCTGGTGTGGGGTGTCTCGTGAGGCTCCTGTGTGGCTGCTCTGTGGGGCCGGGACTGGATGGACCTGCAGGCTCAGGGAAGCCAGCACCCCGGTGGGTGCCTGGTTGGTGACGGATGGTCTGTGTGACGGCGATGGCTGCATAATACCCGGCCGGCCTGGCCGTGGGTGGGGGAGCGCACGGTGGACACGCTCCCCGCCTGCACCCAGAAGGGGTGCCTGAAGGCAAGGCCCCCTGCCCCCAGTGCCACAGCCCCCCACGGTCCGTGGGTCCTGCGGGGGCGCCCCTCCTGCGCATGGGGCCCACAGCCTTGGCAGCCGCCTCTTCATGGCACATCCGTCGGCACGGCTGCTCCTGCCAGGGCCCCTGAGCCGCCCGGCCTGCGCCCCATCTCCGGAGAAGCCGCGGCCAGCAGGTTCTGGCCGGCACTCCTGGCAGGGCGCGGGGTGGCAGCTCGCCGGGCTCGGCCCGTGTGCCGCGCGCCCCCCTGACCGCGCCGGGGCGGCCCTGGGGCAGCGAACAGAGTCCTCCTCTGTGCAGGGCTGGCTCCGCTTCAGGCGCCTCGGTTGCTGGGCAAGCCGCTTTAATCCCGTACCTGTGAAATTCTACGAGCGCTTAAGCAAACAGGATGGCTGGCGGGCGGGGGGGGCGGGGGGGGCATGGCAGCAGGGCACATCGCCTCGCCTCGCCTCCCCTCCCCAGCCCGCCTTCGGGCGGGGGGGGCCGGGTCAGCTTGTGGAGATGCTTCTGGCAGCTGCACCCCCCTCCCTGCCCCCCCGCCAGAGCAGGCGGCCGAATGCCATTTGGGGAGGGTCAAGGCGTGCGGCACCCCTGCCCCAAAGGTGGCCCGGGGACTGAGCCGAGCTCCCGCAGGCACCAGGCTCTCGCTTCCCTGGGTGCGCGCGGGCGCCTTGTCCCTGGTGAACCGCCGGCCCCTGGGCGCTGATGATCCATGCTGTGGGGCAGCGGTGGGGCAGGGGCTGTGGCGCATGGGAGCCGCCCCGGGCAGCGCTGGCCACGGCTGCAAGCTGTGAGCCAGTCGCCGCTTGTGGCGGGCCTGGAGGCAACTCCTAGGCTGGGCCGCCCGGGCAGGGCGGAGGCCCGCCGTGGTGGGGCAGCGGGACCACATCAGAGCCAGGGGGCGGGCCTGTGGCTGGGGCCCGGCAACGGGCGCTCCGGGAGCAGCCGCCGCCGCTTATTTCCAGCCTGGCCTGCCTCCAGCGCTGCTCTCGGGGTTGTGGGGCCGAGCCACGGCCTCCTTAATGGCGGGGTGCAGTCGGTGATGCTCCAGGCTGACCGACCATGTGGGGGGGGTTCTCCTTGCGAGGAGGCTCCCCCCCACCGCCTCAGGCAGGACGTGTCCTGGCCGCGATTTGATTCTGCGGGAGAATGGAGGGCTTTGAAATACTGCGCTGTTCAAATTTCGCTTCCCAAAATAGGGGGAGCGGAAGAACGCGCGTGCCATTTTCGTTCCGCAGTGTGGCTTTTGGAGAAGGGAGCAGAGGCATGCCGGGCTCCTTGCCCCCCGCTCGGGCTCCCCCTGCCCCCCCCCACAGGCCACCTCTTAAGCAGCGTGGGGGCAGAAGCCACGCAAACCGGGAGCACTTGACCCAAGCGAGGACAGATGGAGGGGAAGGCCACGAAGGCAGGGAAGCCATGGCGGGAAGGCCCCTGCAAGCGGGCTGGTGCCCAGAGTTTTCCCGACACCCTCAGGCAAGGGACCCGGTGAGTCCTGGGAAGAATGGTGCAGAAGCGGGGCCACCACGGAGAAGGTGCTGTGCCTCGTCGTCACCGGTCTCACTGCTCTAGGCGAGCGGGAGGTCCAGGGCCCCCCAAGCTGCTCTCCCTTCCCCCCTGGTCTGCTTAGGCCAGTCTTTTTCTCGCCGTCGCGCCTGTGTTTTTAAAATAAAATTATTCTGTTGCCTCTGCTGAGCTCCAGGTGGCCTGTTCAGACGCAGCCCCTTGCGCACCGCCTCAGTTTTTAAGGCACTCGACAAAGAGCAAATATTTTTATGAGTCATGCACTCCGGCAGCTGGACGGACTGTGACTCTCGAAGGTACTGCCCCAAACCCGCAAGCAGGGGCTGTCCGTGGCCGGCCTGGGAGGCCTCGGGGCGGCTCCAGGGCAGCCAAGCGGTGCTGGGAAGGGAAGCGCAGCCCCATCAGGTGTGTCCAGAGGGGGAGCAGGAACTGGGCCAGGCGGTGGCGTGAGGGGAGCGAGTTTCCGCTTCTGCAACAAGCCGGCCTCTGTCCACAGGGCTGAGTTCACCACCTGGCACCTCCCGGGAATTTTTATGCCGTTGGTTGTTCACGTCAGTGTCTCTCCGGCCGCGAGTGACGGTTTCTGGGTGGAACCTCCCTGGACCGAGGCAGTCTAACTCGAGTGCCAAACGAGGGTCTGTGCCGGGGCCTCATGCTGCCCCCTGGGGATCCCCGTGAGGCCCCCCCGGCGTGGGACTTCTTGGCTCGCATGCCATGCCCCTCCCCAAAGGACTGCAAAGCAGTCCCTGGCAGAAACCAGCCTCTGTCCTGCGGTGGGGGGCCCACAGCTCCACCCGGGGGGCTGCCGGTTCAGGAAAGGTGAGGAGGGGCCTCCCAGTGGCTCCCGGCATTGGCTGGCCGTCCAGAGCCCGTCGTTTTACCCAGAGCGGAAGGGCCACCCTGGCACTCCCCCCCGCCTCCGTCGTGTGCCCCGTGGCAGCTCGGGGCAAGACTGGCCCTGCCCGGGCCGGCGCGATGGACCTGCGTGGGCCCTGCTGCCGGCCAGGTTCCCCCCGGCACGTGGCCTGGTGGGCCGGGGCTCCCGGCCGGCCAGCCGGCGCAGGAGGGGGCCGGAGCATCCGCCTGCTGCGACGACTCAGCCGACCCGGCCGGCTGGAACGAGGGAAGCTGCATGCAGCTGCGGGCAGGGCCGGCGCGCACGTCCTGACCCAGGGCGCAGGACGGCGCGGCTTCCCCCGGCGGGACGGGGCGCGCTGCGCCTTCCGGGCCGCTTCTGGCGCTTGGGTGGGGCCGGCGGAGCTCGGCCTGAAAGCCGCTCTGTTCCTTGCCGGCTGGGCCGCGCCTGCAGCGACCGACCGCATCTGGGCGTGGACGGGCCGGTGGCCAGCCACCCCGGCCTCTGAAAGGGGCTCTGTCCGGCCAGCCGGGAGTGGCCGCGGCCGGCAGAGGGGAGGGAGCGGCAGCCGCGGGGAGCTCGGGCGGCCCCCTCCCCAGCCCCAGTCCCAGCCCCAGCCCGCCCCGCGCTCGTGGCACACGGCTCGGCTGCGATCCGCCCCGGAGGAGCAGGGGAGGCAGACTGGCCCGGCACCTTGCAGCTGGACAGCCCAGGTGGGTGGCTTTGGGGTCTAGTGTGGGGGGGCATCAGGCCCCACGGGGGAGCCCTGGCCTCCCCAGGCCTGCTCCAGGTCTTTCTCCGCACACCCGGCTGGGGTTGCAGACAGCGACAGCAGCGATGCCCAAAGAGATCCACAAGCACCAGGTTTCTCGTCCTCTTAGTTCTGGAGTGGGGAGGAGAATTGCCCAGGCTTGGGCAGGGCTGAAGCTGCGCCTCCTTGGCTGGATTCCGCCAGCGGCGTCCAGGTGTTGGGGCGACTGGTGAGCCCCCCGAAATGGCTGCGGCAGGCTTCCCTGTGCGCTCTCGCGTGTTCCAGCCAGACCAGAGTAACTGACGCACAGCAGAGCCCTTCCGTTCCAGCTTGGGCTTTGGGTTCAGCTTTCTGAGGCACAAAATGGATTTATCGCAAGGGCAAGAAACCCTAAACGCACTCAGTCGCCGGCCATTTGCTGGTGTTCGGCAGGATCCAGAATCTGCCATCCGCCCAGGCCACCAGGCCCGGACTAGGTGACCGAAGCAAGGCTGGAAGCAAGGCTGCCTCTGAGCATGTGCAGAGCCCTCCCTGAGCAGCAGGCAGTTATTCAACCAGCCCCATCCCTGTGCGGGCACAGCTTCTAGGACACCGGCTTCCTGCCCGCCTCCCACCCCGTGCCTCGCTTCCTTTTCCTTCTGCCGGCCAGGTCCATCCAGCCGCGCCCCACCCCACGAGCATCATGGCCGATTCGGAGGACTCCCCCCACCCCAGCCCCGGCGAGGCCACCGACCCCCCGGCGGAAGACGCGTCCCCCCAGAACGACGCCTTCCCCCTCTCTTCGCTGGCCAACCTGTTCGAGGGCGAGGAGGGCTCCTCCGAGGCGCCGCGGGGCCCGCCGGGCTCCGGGGACGGGAAGCAGAACCTGCGCACGAAGCTGCACGGGGCCTTCCGCAAGGGCGTCCCCAACCCCATGGACCTGCTGGAGGCCACCATCTACGAGTCGGCGGTGGTGCCGGGGCCCAAGAAGGCGCCCATGGACTCGCTCTTCGACTACGGCACCTACCGCCACCACCCCAGCGACAACCGGCGCAGGCGCAAGAAGGCCCCCGAGTGAGTGGCTCCCCTGCGGAGGGGCGCCGGAGACCCAGGCCGGAGCGGGCGCGCGTGCCCTCTGCTGCGGGCACGGCTCCCCTCCCCTCGCCCCCCGAGGGAGGCCGCCCCTGAAATTGAGACAGAAGGAGGGGAGGAGACAGGAGCCCCCAGACGGGGCGAGGCGCCTCCTCTGTGTGCAGAAGCGCTCTTTCAGCCCAAGCCCGCTGGGGTGCCGTGGGGTCACCTGCTCATGTGCAGCGCGCCCTTCTGCAGTGCCTGGCACCCAAAGCGCCCTCCCCGCTTTGTAAGGGGGGGCAGATCCCCCCCTCCCGCAGGGAGCTCCCCGGATGCTCTGGCATCTGCATCCCCCGGGGCGGTCGCTCTCCGGTCCCTGCCCAGGTCAGTTCAGGCCACTCTGCCTTGCCTAGGAGGAAGCCGCCCAGCACCAAGGGGCCTGCCCCCCACCCGCCCCCCGTCCTGAAGGTGTTCAACCGGCCCATCCTCTTCGACATAGTCTCCCGGGGCTCCACGGCCGGCCTGGATGGCCTGCTCCCCTTCCTGCTCACCCACAAGAAGCGCCTGACGGACGAGGAGTTCCGGGGTGAGTGGCCGCAGGGGCGGCGTGGGAGGGGGTGGCCCAGAGCGGCCCCAGCGCGGAGCCGGCTGTTGGGCATCGCTGGGCTGCATCTGCAGAGGTCTGATTTCTGGGGAGGTTCTGGGGATGCGGACAAGGAGGTGGCAGGAGTTGCGAGCCGGGAGTCCGCGGCTGCGTGGGCCGCTCACAGAGGCGGCGGCAGGACCTCCACCCCAGGATGCCGGGGGTCTCGCGCACGTCTCCTCCAGGAGGCTGCGGGCCGCTTTTGTTGGGCACCCGGCCGGGGGGAAGACGGTTGCGTCCTGTGGCCCTCGCCCTGCCTTGGTCCCGGGGCAGAAACGGACTCGGCCGGGCAGGTCCCTTGCTTGTATCTGGCACGCTTTCAAGGGCTGCCAGGGCGGTTTGGCTGGGGGCCAACGGTGGGCCAGAGACGAGGCCCCCTCTGCTTGTGGGGCGGGCGCTCGCGGGGGAAGACGGGGAAGCGAAGCCGGAAGGCCAGCTCTGCAGACGGGCAGAGAAAGACAGCCGCTAACACTGGGCATGCTGGCCAGGAATGATGGGGTTTGAAGTCCCGGCACATCCGCAGGGCACCAGGCTGGGGAAGGCTGCACTGGGGTGGCGCGGCCTCGTTAAATGCCGCCCTGCTTGCCGAGAGCCACGTTTGTCCGCCGGCCGGGCTCTGGGCTGCCCAGCGCGGACTTGCCAGTGTGAGCACAAGCGCTCCGAGCGGCGTCTGGGTTCAAAGGCACCCGAGCGCAGCGGTGGCCTCGGCTGGCACTTTGCGGAGCGATGCGCCCGCGTCCAGCATCGGCGGGGGGGCTCGGCATCGTCCCCGCCGAGGGGTGCAGATGCGGATGGACAGGGCCTGGCGCTGCCTGGAGGCCGGAGCGCCGGGCTGAGTGGCCCCGGGCGTCACGTGCCACCCCCCCCCCACGCGGCTCGGCCGGGGACCCAGGCCAGGAACTGTCGCGCTGCGTTTCTGCCCCGCCTCGGCTCCCCGCCGCTCCGCTTTTATCCTGGCGATGGTGCCGCCACACTCACCCCCCCCCCCCCCCCCCCCCCCCCCCCCCCCCCCCCCCC